TCTTCAGTGAAGTCGTGCAAGCTCTACTTTTCGGCGGCAAATCGGTTTTGATGGATCTCAAGGCCGCAGTCAGCATTGGTGTGGATACGCCCATGGGCAAGCTCGCTGTGCGAGGAATTCCGGCGCAAGGTGTCGTACCAGTCAAACGTTCGTAACCAGTTCGTGATCCAAGTTTGGCCGCATCTCCTGCACATAGCTAACTTTTGGCGTCCAGCAATTGGTCACGGCAAAGACACCCAGCCCGGCGATGGTAAAGACGAGGCAAGCAAAATCAACGTGCAGGTCGGCAATTTGTCCATCACCGACACCTCGCCTACTTCTCTTACAATCACTGCCCTGGTCAACTTTACTAATCCTTCGAAATACTCCGCAACGGTTCCTTACTTCAACATTAACATTCTGGCCAATGGCTCCCATATCGGTAGCGCAACGGTCAAGGATATGGAAGTTTCTCCCGGTAACAACACAAACAAACTTGCATCCGTTCTTTGGGATCCTTACACCTATGGTGGTGAAAAAGGGAAGAAGATTGGTGCAGAGTTGCTGTCTCAGTATATCTCCGGTACGTCAGTGTTAACCATGACCACGATCAACTGAACTAATACGCCCAACAGGTTACAATACCACTATAACTGTCCAGGCACACGAAAATTCCGTCCCGTCTGTCCCTTACATTGGCCGCCTGCTCTCGCAATTTCCCATCGAACGCCCTATGCCGCACATGTCAACCCCCAAGAAGCCGTGTGATAGTGATGACTGCGACGACCCGGAAGATGATGGCAGGTCCCACTTCATCCGTGGCACTACCATGCATCTCATCACAAGTACAGCCGTCTTCACTCTTGCATCACCTTTCCGCGCTACAACAATGTACATAACTAGCATGGATGCGACGGCCTATTACGAAGGTCACACAGCTGGAAAAATCGTTTACGATCTGCCTTTCGCTGTGCCTCCTGGCCTTTCTGAATCTCCGCGCTTACCCGTCGACTGGTCATTCGGTAGCCTTGGGTACCAAGCCATCAAGAGAGCACTTGGTGGGCAGTTGAAACTTAGCGCTTTCGCGAACGTGGGTGTTCGCATTGGCGAATGGCGAGAGGATATATGGTTCCAAGGTGGCAAGATCGGAGCGAATGTCCGTCTTTGACGCTCCAAAACAGGCTGGGTCTAGATCTTCAGGCGTGATGAGAGGATTGCATTCGTGTGTATACTAGGATAAGTTGAACAGGATGGGTAAGACAGTACACGCTCGATAGCGTTGGGTATATCTTCAAGGCAGGAGGCGTTTAGGTTTATGAAATTGCTAGCATGACGCTCTCGATGCGTCAATATGAGACATGTCTCTCCCTTGATCACGTTCGTATCTTGATTCCTATTTCGAGATCCCCCCGCTTTGCAAGCGGAATTCTGTGTCCTTTTGGGTCATAGTCTAATTGGTCTCTTGGCTTGATACAGTACCCGCACTGTACTATCACAGGCGAACCCCCTCTTTACGCGCCTTTCATACGTCTTTGTTACAAAGGACTAGCGATATTTCGTGGATCTGAGTGATAGAATGTCACCATATTATCTTAGCGTAGAAGCAGCTTTTACTAGTGGAACGATGACGGTATATTGACTCTACGATCTCTTCAACTTGTTCAACCGAGACAGGCCAGGCAAGCCTTCCTAGTCGTGGATTCTGAAGGGCAGGTGACAAGGGGCATGTTCAGCTAAACTATACTTCATCATATTGAAATGCGCTAGCGCAAAGGTACCACACAGGGCAGGGGCTAACGGTCTACCGCTTATACTTGCTCACTTCAAGATGAGCTGAGATCGCAAACGCCCAAAAGGTACTTGGTGTGATGACTGAGCCAACAAGTGATAGGGGTCCCGGCAAAAAAGAAGCATTTTCAGGTCTCAAATCAAGAGTGTTTCGAGATGAGCCCATACCTTCACCGCAGAACATATTAACGGCGTCACTGCGGCGTTTTCGCTGAGTGATTGAGCGAGTCCATGTCTGCTTCATCGCGATTCTCGATTGTCGATGGTTCTCGAAGTCAATTTCCCATCTTTTGACCTTGCTGCAAATCAGCCATGTGGACACTCGATTAGCGGAATATACCGAGCCGTTTGACGCCAAGATTCGTGCCACCAGGGCATGGTAGACCAAGTGGAAGCTGCTGGAACGACAAAGCAGTCGGCGATGACCATATGCTGGATAGATCCAGGTGCTGAGGGAAGTATTACCAGATATGTCACTGCCTAAACGTGATTGGGTTTAGCATATCAGCTCGCTGGCCGTGGCTGGCCGTGATTGGCCGAGGAACACTCGCCCGGCACTAAAATTTCCCTCCCCGCGTATCGAACTTCAGCGTGCATCTGTGTCAACGTCACGGCACTCTGCAACATGGGAACGAGGGCTTCGTCTCACACCGTCGGAAGACGGGCTTCGCGTACTACAAATGCACTGAATCGACCCTTCTAGACCGCTACCCCTAGCGCGGATCGTATGATTTTGCTGGGCGCTGCAAGATTACTTGAGAGTTGGCCTTTCAGGTGGCGGATATCGCAGCTGCAAGAGAGGCTATGAGAACGTTTTTGTCACATGGTTTGGGTTGCAGCTGAAGTCTTGTGTGATACAGGTTGTTGCGTTTCCGCCATTTTTGCTGGCCGCCCGGTGCTCCGAAGATTCTAGGCGCAGCATACCTAACCAAGCTTACGGCATCGTCTGGGAGTTGGCAAAAGCCGGTGTATCGCCTTTTGATCGTTCGATTATTCTGCTTTCACCCGATCACTGGCTGCGATCACCAGCTAGGATACCAAGCTAAGTCTGTGAACAGGGGGGGTCAGAGAAACGAATAGTCCTTCGATATATACCTTCCATATGACATCGCCCAAAATTCAGTGACTAGTAATAAGCGTTCAACACGGCCCTGCGGCAGCGGCACATCAAGATGGACTTCTCTAACCTACCTGCCTTCTCCATGGCTGCGAGCAACCCATTGTACTCTCCCAACAGCGATGCTTTTCCATCACCGGATGAAATCGACGCATACCTTACTGAGTCGTATCCCGCGCTTTCGGACTATGGTTTCAATAGCTACAACGATAGGAGTAGCTCATGCTTCGACCGATCCATCACACCAGGAGACTCAGATCTCAATTGGAGCGCACCGGTACCCAGCAGCTATATCAACAACCCATCGCTCGTCACTACAACCAATGCAGTCTCGAACCCCCCTCAGAACGCATGGTCAAATTATAACCCCTCGCCGCTGAGCTGTCCAGCCGACTTTCAACACACCTATCCCGAATCCGGATTTCCCGGCGGCTTTGCCTCAAACCCCTCTCCCTTGCCAACTCCCCCTAGCCACGGCAGCCCAACTTCCCCCTCACCAATCGCGACGCACCACCCCTCTCCAGAAGATACCAGCCTTAAGCCGCCTCCACCACGCAAGCGGGGCCGTCCTCGTTTGCACCGCCCCGCCTCAGAACCCTCTGCTACTACCGCCGCCGTCAACAAAATCACCCGTACGCAATGCATGCCCCACACCGAAGTCGAACGCAAATACCGCGAGAAGCTCAATGCAGAGCTAGAGCGGTTACGTCGGGCGGTGCCCATGTTGCCACAGTGCGATAACGGAGATACAGGTGCCGTGAAACCTAGTAAGAGTATGGTGCTCGCGGTTGCTATTGACTATATCAAAGAGCTGGAGAGACAACGAGACGCGGCGGTTGAAGAGGTGGAGAGATTGGGAGGTAAAATGAGATTTGGGAGGACAGCAACCAAAAAAAGGGGGGATGGAGACGCTTGAGCGGCAGTGCTGGTTTTGTCGTGTTGTGAAGAGAGAGGGCGATCAAAAGTTGGGTTCTGCGTTTCACGTCTTCCAGGCACTTGATCTGCGGGTGCAGATCCGTAAGCTACATTCTGGATATGCATGCATTCTCAACTCTACCATACTTTATGCGGAGCAGAGAAAGGGCCGTAAGGCATGGCTGGTTACATGCCATGTGCTGCATAAGATCTCGAGCGCAATTCATTGGACCTGTAACTGGCACGTAATATGAGGACATGAGGTTAGATACCCCAAGTAATGTTTTGTTAGCTGGGAGGTGATTCTGTAGCAAAACGTTTGACAGATACACGGTAGCGCTTGTGCTACCAGCAGACATTTAAGTTTGCTAGTTCTCTTCTGTTTTACAATAGTCCTTTGGTGCTTCGAGTACATAATATCGAGCCAGTGACAACAAGCAACGATTCTTCACTTAGATAATGTATTTATATACTTCGTTCATGGATCATGCCCTGCTAGGCAATAGTAATTCTTTACACAAGGACGTTCGGATATTGTGGGCTGTGTCTCAATGTGAAGAACTACTTACAAATATTTGGAAACTCTGTATGTCATGATCATATTACCTTTTTGCTCGAAGACACAGTCTCATAACCTCACGTTTCCTTTTTTTACAGTCACTCATTGTCACAACCTATGCTTAAATGCTAGGTTCATTCGCAGCATGCTCGATCTACCTCCTAGTTCCTCCACTTGTCCGCACTTCTCCTTCGCCAGGATATACCTATCCCTGTATTTACGTTAGGCCATGCCTAAGGAATGCTTTTGTTTCACGCAAATTGCAGAAGATTTCAGCATGGAGTTAGCATGTGTCTTGTGGTAAACACAGTAGTGAGAGACAATGACAAGCAGTTAGTCGACAGGTGTTCAATGCATGTAGGCGACGTTGATACGTACGTCCAAAGCACTCCTGCTACCCCATTTAGTCTTACCTGCCCAAGCTTCCCAACTGCGTCTACCAATCGGTACCTTCCCTGAGGGCGACTATGCTTACATGCATCACACGACCACATATCCGACATACGAAGTCAACGCATCAACACTCAAGGCAGACGACTTAGCTACCTCTTTGCAGTAAAGCTATGTAGACTGAAGCAAAGTACGTTGCATTGGCATTTTTGTTGAGGTAGCAATACAGGGTTTCAAATAAGCATCACTCTGTAATAGATGAGTTATGGCTGGGGCTAGCGAGACGTGGCTGCGTGCACAGATATGTATTTGATTGTGAGAATAGGCGGATAAAGCGGCGAGCAAACTCCAAGATGCTATCAGGGAGGCAAAGACGTTAGATTAGGATTTTGGATAGTGGAGAAGGTATGTAAGATATCGCGGGGGGAGCTATTGATGTGCGATCGGGTTGTGTTTGGTCTGAGATCCACACGTTCGTTCGCCCGCCCCTCCTCTCCAACCTCCCCTCCCACTAGCGCACATCGTTCGCAAGCCACACATCCAACGAGTTTGCTCGGCGCTCACACCATTCTCAGACCACTGACCCGTAACTCGATGGCGCTTGAGATTGCCGAGCGAGACGAGGCGGGGAACTTGGTGTTGGAGTATCTTGCTGAGGCGCAGGGAACGAGGGTTGACGTGATTGTATGTCGCATGCACATTTCTCTATCAGGCTTGGTTCTGCGATCTGAACTTCCTCCTCAGAACTTAGATTGGGAATATCGATCGAAGTCATGGTTCAACCCATGAAAGTAAGGCCAGCAAACAATTTCGCTAACGCAACACGCCCCTCATCTTAGTATCCCAAAGAAGCGAAGAGCTATGCGCAACGCCTTCTTGGTGTTTTCTTACCAGCAGGGTATCCGCAGAGTGTGACGGAGGATTATATTCATTACCAGATCTATGTAAGTCTATTGCGACCTTTGCCATCCTGACAATGGCTGGCGTTGTGATGATGGGGTGAGAAGCTGATAAGAGAATACGGCACAGGACTCGCTTCAGGCATTTTCTTCCTCGATTGCAGGGCTGTTGGCATCGAGAGCTGTGTTGGAAGGTATGTTTCCATGCACATTATAGTGTGTGTTCCTTATCTGTTTCTTCTCAGTCATTGTGCGAGTTTGCTGTTGTGCGTGGTCAACAAGTCTCCACGTATTGAGGTCAAGATATGGAAATTATGCATTGCAGGCGTCAGATACAGCGGAACCCCTATGACGATTAAACAGCAACAACACAACCATGCATTCGCCTGTCTAACACCTACAAACAGGCGTCGGCGTAGGTGACTCGACTGCCTCCCCGACCTCCGCACTCCTCCTCTCTGTGCTCCAGGAGTCAACCGGCCGCATCGCTACAATTCTCTTTGCGCACCGTCTCGGCACGGCTCTTGAGCCAGAGTGTAAGATGTTTCGCCTGGCCGCCGACGTTTTCAACGATACAGCAATGGTGCTCGATTGCTTGTCGCCCGCTTTTCACAAACCAATCCGTGTGGCGGTGTTGAGCTTTTCGAGTTGCTTGAGGGCACTGTGTGGAGTCTGTGCGGGCAGTGCAAAGGCAAGCTTGAGCGCACACTTTGCGAGCAAGGGCAATCTGGGGGAGGTCAATGCTGTGAGTGACGTATTGTTATCTTCGGACCCGAAGGTAGAGAGTTGAGACATATTTTGATCGACGTTATCTGAAAGTGGGGTGCAGATGAACGGTGATACTGACTCGTTCCTAGAAAGACTCAAGCCAAGAGACGGTCATATCTCTACTGGGTATGCTCGTGGGTATCCCCAAAACCTCCACCACTCGTGCATTGACTGACGGCCATGTAGGCAGGCAGCCTTGTGGTATCGCATATAACCTCGCCTTTCGCGACGTGGACCACACTCCTCTTCCTCCTGGCTGTACACCTAGCCACCAACTATGCCGCGGTGAAAGCCGTCCGTATGCGGTCTCTTAACAGACAACGAGCCAATATCCTCTTCAGCAGCATACTTCAACACGGTGTCGTCCTGAGCCCAAACGAGGTTTCCAAACGCGAAAGGATCTTCCACAGAGGTGACGTACTGCGCTGGTCGGACGACGAAATGCTCGGGCATTGTAAGATTGGCGTATCTCTCCAGGAAATGCTAGGCCGAATGGGCGAGCAAAATACGCAGACTGGCTCACTTGCGCTTCACGCTATTCAAATCTCCGAACTGCTTACCGTCTTCACCAGCGAGGCATACATAGCATGTCCCGCCGCATCCGCAGTCGACATCTCAATCGTACTGAAGGCAGGGTGTGGACCGAATGATCAGCTCAAAGCATGGGCGCACGCACTGTTGCTTGCGAAGAGAGCCCGAGATGGCAAAGGTCACTCGGGTAACAAGCCCAATACAGCATCAGCCCCGCCCAAGGATCGCCTGATTGCTGAGCTGAGGCAGACGTTGGAGGACGTCCGGGTGATGTTTGACAAGTACGGGAACGAGATGATGGGGAAGGGATGGGATCTAGATGTAGCTGCGATGGAGACAAGGGCCGGGACACGGTTGCAGATTGGGGTCCAACAGGTCGGATGACGAGATGGTTTGGACATGAACTGCCTTGCACAAGAGCCGTGAAACGAACGACGTGAAGGAGACCAAGGGAGCACCCAGAAGACCATCTTGTTGGGGACGACAGGTAACCCGATTGAAGCGCTCGCGTGTCGCAGGCTGTCTTGGGATCCAGGTCAAACGGTGCTCGGTAACGACGTCAGCAGGTTGACTCACCCACAGCCGCATGGGATCGGCACCAGCATGTACGGCTGGCCCTATGTTTGAAGCAGTTTGATGACCACCAGCATGTCTCTTAGCATTTTATTCTTTTTTTCCCCTCTCACACACTTTGCCAGCGCAGAGACATCAGTGCATGGCTCAAACAGTGGTTACGATCCACATCGGTCCGGTTTCATGTATACCTGGCGTCTCTTCGGCGGCCGGTGGCCGGTTCCGAAGTAATCAATGCTGGCGTCCAAGCTCAACACCACAATGTGGAGTGTGGACAGGCAATGCTGTGCGAAGAATGGAAACTAAGGCTAAATGCCATGAATCTCGTGACAGCTAGCAGCCATGTAACAGTGCTAGCATCAGGTTGGTATGTGAAGATTTGTTCAGACTCCTGGTAGGGAAGCTGGTCCCGAGGGCGTGGTCGTTGGGGCTCTAACAAGCAAAAACCCGCACATTACGGACGCCACCATGCAAGGAGAAGACATGTCGTTCCGACATAGCTGAGGCTCGAACAAGAGAGACTCGGCCAAGTTAGCATGTGGTTTCATGGATGGCGGCCCTCCGACCGGCGTGGGATGCGGCTAAAAAATGAAACCCCACGAAGCGGTGAAGCGGGTGAATCAATCGAATACGCGAGCAGAGGGGGGCCCACTGGCTGCGTCATGTTGTGTTCCTGAGGCTCCGAGCTTTTTTTTGTTGGCGGCTCAAAATTTTCGGTGCGGATTGATTTTGGTTGACCGTAGGGGCGTGCTGAGTCGATAGCCGGCTAGTGACGGTGTTGCAACGACAGCGCAGTCCTTCTAGAAGCGCCACAGAGGCAGCTTTGCGAAGCACAACAGGGTCGGCGCTTGGAGAAAGCCCGAGGAAGAAGCTCAACAGTATGTAACGCTACATTGAATGGGTGAGCCATGTCCGAGAGAAGGCTTCAAGGTGGAGTGTTGCAAGCGTTACGCTGGGCCATGCAGGAGGTTGATGGAGCGATGCTGGATCGACAGACAAGGCAATTGTGGCTGCACTAAGATGGTTTAGGCAAAATTCTAGAAGAGAGAAATCGTTCTGGAAGATTTCTTCGGTTGCACGGTAATGAATTGGCGAAGCAACAGGGATGAAGACGGGTGGCCTGATCATGTGGTAGCGCTGGTGGAACGTCAGCATTCCAGGCTTGGCAACGAGGACGAGGACGACGACAACGACGACGACGACAACAAGTACGAGGATAACAAAGGCAGTTTAGACGTGCATGGAGAGCAGCGATGGTGATTGCGTAGATCCTATGTAAAGCACAAAAGAAAGATGGCGTGTAGACGTCTGTTGGCACGGTGTTTGCTAGAGATTAGTGCTAGAGACGTGCTAGAAGGCTAGAAGAGGCGCCGGCGCATCCCAAGTGGATCATGGTTGGCTGAGGGGAGCATTGGAGGACGAGTTTGACCCCAGGCGTAGGGCCAGGGCCAAGTGTGTGGCCGTGCGGGCTCGGCTGGTGTAAGACAGTGCAGGCGTGATTGGCGAGGAAGGCATGATCAAGTGCCGTTGCGCGCGCACATCACGCGGCAGAAGGTGACATTGTCGACAAGTTGCTGCCGAGGGCTGCGCAAGGCATTGTGACAAAGCAAGCAATAGACGACATTGCCTGCATCACAAAGGAAGGTCTCCTCAGAGAGTCATAGGGTGGATTAGTGGGCGGGTGCCGGAAGCCCGCTGGAAGCCTTGCCTGTGGACATTCCATGAGCAGCAAGAGCACAAGAACAAGAAGAAGAACCAGAACAAGAACAACAAGAGTCGCGATTGCGTCTCCAAAGGGAAACTGGAGAAGGGTGTGGGCTTCTTTATCAGAGAAAAAGGGCCGAGCGGCGCACAAGGCTGGGGGGAGGCTATGGTAATCTATGCAGGCAGACTAGTGCCGGGCGTCGGAACCAGATGGGAATGGCTCGAGGTGGGTGAGGTGATAGCAGCAGTGGTTTTGGTGGTGCGCTCGTTCGCTCGGACAGCGACGACAGACGGCGGCTGGCGGTGATGATTTGTGCAGTCGCGGTTTGTCACGACAGGCAGGCAGCGCTCTAGGGGCTTTGTGGTGGCGAAAGAGGGCAGCGCAGTGTGCGCCAGGGGGCGGTTTCGGCAAGGATGACGATGCGGGCGTGCGTCTTCCAGAAGACGCCGGCAGCCAATCAGAGACCGGCAGCGACTGGCCGCTTTAACGGCGTTTGGGTGCCCTCAGCCATGGGCCCTCGATCCTTCTTGATGGCCAAACCGCTGGTGGGCCCTGGCGTGTGCGTCCTGACTGAGCTTTCCGCCCAAGCATTGACCCAAGACTCCCTGACTCTCCACTGCCGCTTGCTCAAAACCACGCTGAGCCGCACCTGTCCATACCCACGTCCTGACGCATATCGGCCTTTCTGTCTCACCACGCACTCGTCACAGCCCACAGCTGCCACCCAGTCTCCGCCCGCCGACCCACCCAACGCCTCTATATACCCGCCCATCGCCCTCGCCCTCGCCAGCACTGCCGCTGAAGACGCTCGATGCTGCCCTCGGATTTATAGCCTTGTCCTCCACCACTCCCACACCCACTAGGTTCGCCCGAACCGAGTGCCGCCAACGCCAAGCTGGCGCAACAACTCCAACTCTGTTCCTGTGACGCCCTCGACGAGCAGAGCAGGAAAAACGCCCGCCGTGTCTACAAGCACTTCTGGAAGAGCGTCATGGTCGCACGCAAGCCCGGCACCCACGCCCTGTCCATCACAACACACTCGACCCAGCACTCGTCGTCGTCGACATCATCCTCGCCCACGCCCTCGCTGGCCTCGCTGCATGCCCGCGACGCCAACATGGCCATGTCCGACTGCACCCCCGCCCCATTGACCGTCTCAATACCCAAGAACATCCAGAGCCCCCAATGCCGCAAACCAAACCTCCAGGAGATACTCAGCAACACCGCCCCGCCCCCCTACACCCTCACCTCCTTCATGGCCTTCCTGTCACAGAACCACTGCCTTGAGAACCTCGAATTCACAATGGACGCCTCCCGCTACCGCAAGCACTACTCCAAGATGGTCAACCGCCATCCCGGTACTCCCATCTCGCCCTTGTCTGAAGAGTGTGGCTACGTGCTCATGCTCTGGCGTCGACTCATTGACGCTTACATCCGCGAGTCCGGTCCACGAGAAGTGAGTCCACAAGAAACCAACCCTGCCCCAATAAGACATGCCGCTAACACAGCCCCAGGTCAACCTCCCAGCTGAAGTCCGCGACCAACTTCTCAGCCTCTCCGACACCTACGTCCCACCCCACCCATCATCGTTAGACAGTGCCGTGGCCAAGATCAACGAGCTCATGGAGGAGAGTGTATTGGTCTCGTTCCTCAACTCAGTCAGCCCACAGAGCGCTCACCCCGCCAGCCACGAGAGCTACGCTGGCAGTAACATCTCTCGCTCATCGACCCGCAGCTACGAGGAGCGGAGTCTCCTTTCCCGATCGTCACAGCCGCCCATGCCTGCGAAACAACGGGCATCGGCACCCTCATCCCTCACTTCCGGCTTCATGGCATCTCGTCCCTTCTCGCATTCACGCTTCCACTCCCAGCCCACCTCTTCCGGTCAAGCACCCACCCGCATCACCTCGGGCTACACCAGCGGCAGCGATGCATTGACTGACGACTCTGGCAGCGCCAGTAGTCCGTCGGGAATGAGCGACCCACTGACACCTCCTGGCACCCCGCCCATGAGCGATTACCCCATGGCCGACTTCCAGCAAGCCTACTACGACACAGGCTCAAACAGTGGCACCCCGAGTCCTCGCAACAGCCGGGGCGAGCACAACGGTCTTGCCAACGCCACCAGGGATAGCTGGAAGCGAGTAAGCAGCAAGTTGTGGCCCAAGAAGAAGAGCGGCAGCCAGCTCCGAGATGACGAACCAGGTGTTGTTGAGGGTGGTCTCTTCTAAGCCGCCATCCATTCAACCTCGTCATCCTCTTCACTCATACCAACATTTTCACATTTAAAAGCAGAGACGATCATGACGATGCAATCAGAGCGATTTGCATCACCTAAACCTTGCATATTGGGCTGCATAACCACCGGCGTAACTGAATTTCCACACCCGACTTCTACGGGCATGCGAAGGCGCAACTGGCTCACACGACCCGGCGAGGTTGTTTTCGGCATTTTCACTTCCCTTCTCAACTTCAGACTACTAGACATTTTTGCGAAACGGCGTTGGGAAACTTCCTGGCCACGCTTCCTATATCCACTTGGCGTGGCTAGGCCGAGGCGTTACCTTTGACGTTGCTTCATCATCAAGAGCATATCACGAATGACTTATTTGGGCGGACGGTTCTGACTTTCTTCTGTGTATCATTATGGCTACCTTTCACTTTTCCCCAAAAAAAACAGCGGGAAGGCTTTTTCTGTTCATAGGCATGGATGGGGGTGGATTGGAGTAGATACCAAAGCGTCCGAAACGCTAGAATCACGATTGTTACCATGTTGGTCACCAACACACAAAGTTTGTTCCCACTGGAACATGGACGTGACGTTTTGACTTCTACATCGAGCCATGACAAATCGACAGATGACCTCCTTTCCTACCAGCAAGTTGGAACTCGAAGCGCCTCCAATCCGATGCCTTGCATAGGAACTTTTTCGCCCGTCTGGGACTTGATGTAGATCCTCGCGTAACCTATGCGAAAGCGAACAAGAGAAAGGGATATCCCCAATCCACCATGTCCTCCGTGTTACTGGGACTTCCGTCGGTGGTCACATAGGACAGGAAGACTCCATTCTCATTTCCACTTGCATACAACTCGGCGGCATCCCTTG